TCCGAGATTAAAATCAACTATACGTAATAGGGAAATTAGTATAGATAACCAACAAAAATTCTATAATTTGAAAACTGACCAATTAACCTAAATTGAATGTCTATGATTTTACCACAGAACAATTTTAGTTAGTTTTTTAATTCTTAAATTTTTTTGGTTATCTTGCAATATGTAATCTAATGAAATTTGTGATTTAGTACCAAATATCTGGATTTTGCCGTATTGACCGACTAATCTTGTGGAAAGACAAACTCCATTCGTAAAAAATAATCCATCTTTAACTCTAGAACTAATAACACTGTGTCGTCACACCCGAATGTATAATCTATTGACCTGAGCTAATCTTTCAAGTTTCAACAATGATGTGAAGTAAAAATAAAAGTGAAATGAAGTTATCCACTAATTGGTAAATAATTGTTTAGGGTTTTCTTTGTTTGTCACAGTTGTTTAGGACTTTAGGGTTTAAAATGATAGAAAACAATAGGTAGGTGACTATTAAAAAATGTAAAATAAACAAAGGGGTTTTATTGTTGTCCAAAAAAATAAACAAAGGGGTTTTATTCCAAACGTTTTGTACCTTCTTCGTATTTTTAAAACTCTGCTCAGATCGCAGCAAAAGTCGCCGTCGAACTTCTCGCCGGAGCGCCTGATCCACACTACCTGACATCGATTCCTCCGATCYAAGGTTCTCCGATGGCGATTATTTATGCGGTTGTGGCGAGGGGTACGGTGGTATTAGCGGAATTCAGCGCCGTTACGGGAAATACAGGTGCCGTAGTACGGCGGATCCTCGAGAAGCTTTCGCCGGAAATCGCCGATGAAAGACTTTGTTTCTCTCAAGACCGTTACATCTTCCATATCCTCAGATCTGATGGGCTTACCTTTCTCTGTATGGCCAACGATACTTTTGGAAGTAAGAAGCCTTTTCCTCTTTCGCTTTCTTCGAATCGTAATCTCTATCATGTTTAGTGTAGAGGAAATTGGAAGATTTTTGCTCCAATTTTTTTGGTTGTTTGAAGATTTATGGCTGTTTAGTGGATTTAAGGTCTGAATTTCGAGAATTCAGCTTTGGCTGATGAAACGTGAAATTGAGATTGAAATCTTTGTGATTGATTCTTTCCATGCCTTATGTTTATGTTGATGTTGGTGATTGAATTCTTAGGGAGGATTCCGTTTTCGTATTTGGAAGATATTCATATGAGATTCATGAAAAACTACGGAAAAGTGGCACATTATGCTCCAGCTTATGCGATGAATGATGAGTTCTCGAGGGTTTTGCATCAGCAGATGGAGTTCTTCTCTAGTAATACTAGTGTAGATACTCTCAATCGTGTTAGAGGAGAAGTTAGTGAGGTAATTGTTTCTTTGTATAAATACCAAACTACATCCATTGAAATTGGTAGAATTATTGCATCTTCTTGGCTTATAACAGGCTTCATTGAATCTGTCTTTGGTTACAATTTTTCATTCTGTTTCACTTGTTTATGTGCTTCTAAATACTGTTATCTAATATCTCTGTTGTTCTCTCATTGCTGTGTTGTTCTGTTGACAGATTCGATCGGTTATGGTAGAGAACATTGAGAAAATAATGGAGAGAGGTGATAGGATTGAGCTTCTTGTTGATAAAACAGCAACAATGCAAGATAATACGTTTCACTTCAGGAAACAATCTAAGCGCCTCCGCCGAGCTCTTTGGATGAAAAACGCTAAGCTCTTGTAAGGATCTCTCTCACTTCTGGATACTCTTGATTTATTTGGTTTTTGTGATGATGAGATACACATATCTAGTATCTACATTTCATGTGTTTTAATATATTTCTTTGAACTAGAGATACATAATATCTGAGTATCAAGTGGCTCAAAGTTCTAAGTTTTCAATTTGTCTTCGTTTTTGGAATTTTCATAATCAGCTTATTAGGGAAGAGTTGCTATCTTGGACACTGCCTTAATCTCAGAATTCATAAGTTTCATTTTTTGTTTTGTGATTTAAGGATCATTAAAATTACTATTCTTATACAAATCTGTTATTATTGTTTGTGTTCGACAGGGTACTGTTGACGTGCTTGATAGTTCTCGTGCTGTACATACTAATCGCATCTTTCTGTGGAGGTATCACTCTATCGTCCTGCAGATCGTAATCTCTGAGGCCTTATCAAAGGTAATGAAACTTGCAAACTTTCCCGGGGCTTATAACCCTAAACAGACCCTGTTTTTTGTAAATCACCCAGTCTCATCCTTCAATTTCGGTTCTTGTTTCGTCATGGAAATCACACTGAGTCTTAAAGTTATATGTTATGGTCCTCCTCGGTTATGTAACTCTTGTAAATGTCAAAATGATACAGAGGTTCATGAAACACTTGCTTTGTCTTGTAGATTTAGTCACTTGAGTGAGCTTGTTCTCTGTATTTCTAAAAATTTATCTGCTTCGTCTTTATAATTCTTGCATCTGCGAAATTCGCTGGTAATACCGCTTTGTTTTTCTGTTTTTGGTTGGATAACATTTCTTATTTTGTATTCTGTGCTCGCTTCAACCTCCGTCTCTTTTCTCATATAGTGTTACGGTTTTATGCATCTTGAACCAAGATTTTGACGTTTTTTTTTTTGCTACAAGTTTATGTTGCAAAATCACAGAACTTTGTAGAATCATTAGAGAAGATCATTAGAACTATGATTATGCCGGTCCGGTTTGTTAACATTAGCTACGTGATTAGCGTTTTGTAGTTGCTACCAATCAGTCAAATGTTTGTTTAGTAGTTGTTCGTTCCGTGTTTAGCTTCTACAATAGATTTCGGCGGCTACGGCAAACGAGTACAAATGTTAAACGCTAGTTAGCGTATTAGATCTCGAATTCACGTTACATCAGCCAAAATGTGTTATTGAGCCAATGACTACGAAACGAACAAACTTTGGTTTCCCAATTGTGTTCTTGTTGTCCAAACATATCGTTGAATCAGTGATTATTAGCAGAATATGATTTTGTCTACGGCAAAACGAACAGGACCGCCACTGCTGCTAGTAACCAATCCAAATCAATCAAAGTGTTAGATTCTCTAAACTGAATACTCTGTAATAATGAACTTAAGCTAAATACAGTACTAAATATAACCAAGACTCTACGAGGAAGGTAATACAGCTTCAACCCAATCTTAAAAAGCCATCGCAATAAACAAGAAATGTAAACTCTTGTCTGATCTCAATTACATACTGGTAAGAAGGGATTGAATGAAATAAAAGTATAATTTAGTTTTCTTAGTTGTACTTGTAGTAGGGTGATACACATCGATGAGAACAAATGTATCCGGTGTATGGATCACAAAGCTTCAGAATGAAAGGGGCTCTGCATCTTGACTTACATTTTTCGCATAATGGGCGAGAATTGTGGTTGTTAGGAACCACTTTAACTGTAATAGTATTGTATCTGATAATCCGTCCTGGCATGAGACGTGAAAAATCTCCAAGAACACATTCGATATGTGCAGTGACCCCGCAATCAGAACAAGTGTAAAACCATTTTCTTGGATTTGTTTCCGCCTCACAAATATCACACCAATATTTTCCGCTTGCATTTTCGCCATAGCATAAGGTAAGAGGATGATCGTCGCAACTATGCTTCACCACTTTTGGTAAATCAGCACAATGTAAATCCAGATCAAAGTCACAAGCATCACAACAAAGCGCATAACCATTTATCTTTGTATGACATCCGTCACAATAGCGCTCCATCCTCATTTCGTAATATAAAGGATGTATGTGACCATCATGGATGAACGGTTCAGAACGCGATCCACAACGCACATCAAGAACACACCAATCAAAAATGTACCTGAAACCAGTAGATTTAACTCCACAAGCGCTACACACAAAATAATCGCGATACTCCAAATCTTCGCTATCTAGTGTGCGTGGTCTGGTCCATAGTGTAAATGGCTTGGTATGGAACACAAGTCGCTTCTTTTTTGGAAGATTTGCGCATTTTTCATGGAGAATGAAACTGCATTCGTCACAGTTGTAGATCGGATCAGAACATATAGGAAGGACGCATGCTTCACAACGCGAGCTTTCATCATGATTGATATTGTCCCTGTCGAGTCTTAGATTATGTTCTTCATGGCTGAAATGTTTTATCAAGTTATCACCAACCACCTTGAACGGTGCAATATCTTCGTCATCGTCAGGATTCTCTTCGAATTCTATCCCATCCCATACATCTTCTCTTGTTGCGCATTGTGAATGAGCAGCATAGTTAGGGCAAAGAAGGCATGAATAAGCTCCGTTGTATTGACTTATATCTTTGCGACAAATTCCACAATTCGAATATCCAACGCCTAGATGATGAGTGAAAGACATGCGATGATCATGACGATTGATGCTTATAACACATGGTAAGTCGATACAAGTTCGATGGACAACAAAACCGCATTGAATACACATGTAAGGACTTCGATCACCTTGCATCCCACAAGCATTACACACAAATGAGATTTGTCTTGATAGAAGAAGAAGCCGATGCTCGTGTGTCCTCTGATGCTCGATAGTGAGAGTCGGTGGATGCTTTGCACAAAATAGACATATGCTGAAATTGCATATCGAACAACGATAAAACATATTTCCTTTTGGCCCTTCTCCACACAAAAGACATGTCTTCTCAACAACATTTGGAAGTGATTCGTATGCGAGTAACTTGAGACTATGTTGAGGATGACAAGGATGATTTACCTCTTGCGAGAGATTTACACACCCAATATGAACGTGAACATCACATTCACGACATGCATAAGAATAATATCCACCATCATCATTGATCTTGCAAATTTCACAATGGCCTCGTTCTTCCATTAAGACAAGTGGATGACCATGAGACTTTGGATGTTCAATCCTAAGAGGTGATGGTTTTATCCCACATGTGAGACACACGACAAAGTTACACTGTGAACAACGATAAGCATAAGCAAAAATTAAGCTTCCATGTAAACTACATCGATATTGGCGTGGATAGTAACCGAGCTTAAGAAGATGTTGAGGATGATTAGGATGGTTAATGATCTCTGGTGGAGCCTCGGCGCATTCTTTGTGGAAGACGGTACCAGCACAGTCTGGCTGGATGCAACGGTAGCCTCCATAGATGGGACCTTTTACATGGCAGCCTTTGCAATAGTCTTTAACAAACCGAGCTGAGATGGTCAAAGGATGGTCGTGAGTTGGTAGTTTTGCCAGTGATGGATCCATTTTTTTGTGGATTTGATCTTTTTGTGATTCAGATGCGGTTTGTTTTTCTGAGATCTCTAGGTGTAGGTGGTTATACTACATAGAAATGCATCTTTGTAAACTAATGGTATAACAAAACAAACACAGACATGTCATGTGTGAACACCTTAAAGATTCATGTGCAAACCCCCGATAATGGTT